CTAGTATATATACTACACACACACACACACACACACACACACACACACACACACACACACACATATATATATATTTAAATATATATATATGTGTTTATGGATATACATATACTTTTATGTATGTATGTATGAAATTAGGTATGTATTATGTCTGTATGTATGTATATATATGTATGTATGTATGAATTAGTTATGTATTATGTCTGTATGTACTTATATATGTATATATGTATGCAAGTATGTACGTTTGCATGTGTTCCTGTATGAGTGTTCGTTTGTATGTTGGTATGTATATATTTATTAAATTATGGATGTATGTATGTGTGTATATACTGACTTAATAATTAATGTATGTATGTATGTGTATACGTATATATTCATGTATGAATATAAGTATGCCTATATTAACGCTTGAATGAATGTGAGTGTTCTCATGCACAGTTTGACAGGGAATTTATGTAGTAGTGTGTATAAATATGGGCAACAATACATAGGTTTTTTTTCTTCATCAGAGATACTACATAATATGGGCAACAATACATATGTTTTTTCTTCTTCATCAGAGATACTACATATATACATACGTTGAACTTCGCTGTGCTCTATACGTGGGCGCCTCTCATCCCTAGAGTCAGCCTCCATTGAACTAATACAAAGTCTCTTACACATCAACGGCCTTCTGATCCTGACGAATTACGCTACGAAACTAACACAGAAATCTATTGACACTTAAACTTATACTCTAGAACACTACCGCATATATAGCGCGATAGTACAGTATCACATTCCTACTTGCACCGTTTCGTTCAGCGTTTTTGGTAAAGTTCACCGTTCTCTCGTGTGTACAGGCTGGTCATTCTTTTAAAAACTTTGATCGGACCAGCGTATATTGATCTCGACGCAGGGTCTTTTCCCAACCCTATCTATTTAGAGGCGAGTACACCATAACAGCGTTTCACTTTCAGTCCCCAGTCCCTACTCTCCACGGCGTGCCAGCGGTGATTTTGAAATATATAGCGGCATATGTAGCCTCCTAAATTGAACCGAGGCTATGTAAATAGTACGTAAGTATGAATATACAAAAATATTCTTTTTATTACCAGTGCCAGACTGACTGCCAGGCGGTGCCAGCCAGGGAACCAGTCTGTCAGACCTGACCACTGACCAGTGCTTCGGCAAAAAGCATCTCGAGCAACCGCCAAGTATACGATTGGCTTACAAAGTTGAATGGATACGCATTGTCCAGTGAGCACCGAGCACTGAGGATAGAGTATAGACAGATAAAATAAACAAAGAGTAAACGTGACTCATCACTTTTCGAGCGTTCGAGACTCGAGACTCGAGACTCGAGCCTCGCTGTCTCGCCGTCTACTACCGAATCAGTAATCACCTATTTAGCCTTTATTGTAAAAAACAAAACAAAACAAACAAAAAAGTGTTCATTTTTCAGAAGAATACTAAAAAAAATAATGCCCCTCAGGCCTCACGGCTCACACAGGCCTGGACTACTAAAAGCAAACTAAAAAAAGCCACACCCAAAAAGTCTAAAGTTCGTAAAGTACTGTCGATTTTTATACCTCTCTCACTACAAGAAACAGTTACAGGTCATCATCTACCTCACACATTAGCGGCTTATCTCAGGATGGTGTCTAACACGTTCGTTCTAATCGCGCTGGGCGCTGTCGCGGCTGAGGCTGCTACAACCTTGTCATTCCTGAATGGATTGGCCCCAGAAACAGTATCAAAGACACCGAGTTTCAGCGCTCACACAAGCAAACATGCGGATGAGATCACAAACATCCCTGGATATGGAAAGCCGGATACGCGTATGTACTCTGGATATGTGTCTGCCAACGGCCACAATGACGAGAGCAACTACAACGAGGAACGCAAGGATTACCTTCACTACTGGCTGGTAGAGTCTGAGGGCAGCCCTGAGACCGATCCTCTAGTTATTTGGTATGTTTTGAGATAATATACGCTTTAAGGGTGCTTTGTGATAGTTCGCTCGAAGATCGAATATATTGGTACCTGTCTGTAAGATGCCTTGACTTCTTTGTAGATTATTGCACGTTTATATTCGCTACTATAGCAACACGGTATGCCGATGCAAGGTGCCATCAATCTCAATAATATAGGTTATATTTTTTTTGTTATACAGTCTCTCTATACAAGGAATCATCGTGCACGGCAACCATTAATTTTAGATGTATTCCTGTTAATCTCTTAGGTTGAATGGCGGACCTGGTGCAAGCTCGCTTATGGGTACGTTCAACACTGCACCATCTACATGGTATCCGGAGGTTTCCACGCACGCTGGGCATTCAATGTATTTATGCTCTTCATATGCGTATTGAATCTGAAAGTTATCTTCAAGTTTGTTCTTAGCAAACAGTACACTAAATCTACTACTTTTGTACTTTTAACAATAAGGTTTCTTTACCGAATTCGGACCTCTGGTGTTGGACAACCAGGTATGTGGCAATTTTCTCCACGAGATCGTATTGTTGTGATATGCGTAACATACACACACGTGTACAACACACACGTTTCCAC